ATTTATGCATTAAACCAAACTTCAATGAAAACTTTTCCAATATAAAGTATGTATAGTTGTTTGGTTTTTTTTCAATGATTAATAATATCATTCCTTTTAGATTGTGATCTCTTGAATAAAATTGACAATAGAAATGAATTTTATATTATTCTATTATGTAATCGTTGTTATTGCTTTATTCTTACTCAATAATAATCACTTCCAGTTTTCATTACGTTTTATCTACACACCTTATTAAACCATCTACTGCAGTAATATAAAGTTTCATAAGTTCTTTAAAAAAATGTAAGTGGTTTTAAGATGTAAACACAAAATTAACATTATATGAACCATAATTCACAATATGATCTATGAACATTCTTGTTTGATTAATAGAAATAACCTTTTTGTCCATTAATATTAAACTATGCCTGTTAGTATTTCAGCTAACGAGATGTATCGTATCTCTTATTCAAATGCATTTGTATGTCCGTATGTTGCTTTGTAGTTAAATGTTTATTATTACTATTATTTCGATCCAATGACTTTGTAAGGTTTCTTAATTGTTAGGTATACTATTTTACTGTTGTTCCATTTTATCGTTTAAGTAGTTAACGTGTTTAGTCACGGTTGTATAACAGTTTATTTTTAAAATAGGTGATATTGACAATTTTCTGATTTATTTCGGGTTGTGTTTTATACAAATTATCATATTCTTTTTATTGGAAAGCTGAATATTCATTATGTTCATCTGTGATAATTGTGTAGACTTAGCTTAGAGGTTAAAGTATTTAACTTTCAGCTCCATCTACTTCCGTTTTTTGGGCCATCAGATGGCTGTTAGGTATGCTGAGGAATATACCAATCATTATCATGTTAAGTCTAATGATGTCCTTGGACTCTAAATGGGCATTCCCTATTGGCCATTATTTATTTCATCCGTTAAATATTGTACAGATGTTGTTTTCTATTTTTATGGTACGATATGGTCTGTTTGGTTAGTATATAAATAGAGTATGTCTGGAATATAGTGATTCATAATGATTCATAACTCAGAGGCTGTGACTTGCGTTCTAGACTCAACTGGCTGGGCTAGACAGGGAAGCGGGACCAATCAGAACCTTAGGCCGTTCGCTACGTGTTTTTCCGTGTCACTGAATCGATCGATATAAACGCTGCTTATCAAAACTTGCAGTCCACCCGTTACAACAATAGCATTATTAGCACTCATATCTAAAGTATGGCTTGTAATCATTTGCATGGTGAATGAGTTGATTTATCTATAATAAATAATCTTACATATTTCATGCAATTTGCTTCCTTCACGAATTTGAATTAACTCAGAACAACAATTGATATAAGTCCATTATATTTCGTGATTTCTCATCAGCTGCTTATAACCATACATGTATTAAAGTGTAACATTGAGGTATGAAATGGTAATTGTATAGAACTAGAAATTGAAGGGTTCCGTTATAATTATACAAGATTTGAAGAGTTCACATTAGTTCAAAGAATTGAGCGAGTGGAAAAAAAATCAATGGCTGTAGGGAAGATTTTGGAGTACATTAAATATAAATTAGTTTGTCAGAGGCTACACTACAAAATGAACACTAATAAAATAATAATAATAACGAAAATTATAGTAATTGCAGGTGATATTAGTCAAAGCTGTCAATTTACGAAGGTAGTGTAGTGTCAGTTACTATGTTAAGCCCATATACCTTATTCTAGCTTCTGAACAGGCCAATTTATCCATTATTCTTGAGTAACGTTTTGACCTTGAGCTACAAATATCGACTAACGTTTGACTAAATGGAGTTGGCTCACATGCCTTCACTGCGCGTCACTTCGTTTCGCTCTCGTCTATTCGCTTCGTCCCTGTGATTGTCTGTCCGGATCAACGATTGTACAAAATATACGTATTCCAAGTCCTTTGTCGTATTTGACTTATTTTAATTCCGTTATTCACTATCGTGGACTAAGTCGATAATAAAATGCAAGAGATGACGATATGTGTATTTTGACAGCAATCATTCATGCAATCTAATTGGAGTCAGACATCTGGCCGTAAAAGTGGTGAGCCCTTCGACAACGTCGTCCGATCTAATTGACGTCAAAATGAAGGGCCCCACTATAGTGATAAATCGATTACTAAAAATAGGAAAAATTGGTCCAGCGAAGAGTACTTGTTTCGCCTAATGGATAAAAATGTGTCAAGTTTGTAGACAAAACTCGTAATGTACGACTCACCAATTTCTGTAAATATCTGAATCCTATAAGTTGTAACTACTAAAGTCTAACTTAGCAACAGCTATGTTTTCTACTGAAGAATTAATGTTTCTGGTTGTAATTCCATGTTTCCGGGTATATACAAATATGAAAAACCGAACTAGGTCCAAATATATTTACAGTATGTTTTCCCTTGAATTCAGCATGACATTAGTTCCTCTCTGACAGCTAGCAAGTCAAAAGTTCAAATCTAATCCTTTTGTTTAAACGTTTTCGATAGATTAGATACTTTATGACTCCATGTATTTCTAATATCCATTTCTCGAAGTTTTGTAATGTAACTGGAGACACTTTCACGCTACAAACGTATCCTTCGGTGGTAATGTGTAAATCTTTAAAATCATGGTGAGAAGTGATTTTTCCTTCTCCCATGTCTTACAAAATACCTTTTATTATATGTTTATTCCCTATATATATCAGTTATTTGAATAGACTGTATATTCTCACGTTGATGATTTGTGGAATATTGTTCATTTAAAGCCTCAGAATTACTTTTATCTTCTTTTGCTATCCTGTATTTTCTCGTATCATCTATCAAGCTAAATCTATTCCTTGTAATGAACATTGTATCTTATTTCCTGTTACTTTTCTTGTGTACATCTCGAAAAATAACTAATCTTCAACATATATGGTTCTCTCTCAAGGCCATTCATTCGACATAATCCTGGTTGTTCCATACATTGACATATTAATATGAACACGCAAATCGTAAGATGATGTTGTTTTGATTTTCAATCATTCAGATTTGAAAAAGAGAACTAAGAAATCCAGTTCTAAACCATTGTTTATTGATTAGTTTTGTTTTTCTCCCAATTGATAATTATTCATATTGTATTTTGCTTTTATTGGCCTCATTTCTATTCTGTATTCATTACTGTTGTTGCTTGATGTCATGATATCAACAAATGTGTTTATTATAACATAAATAAACAGGAAGAAATAAAAATAACGGATTGTTTATCTTGATAATTCGGTTGCTTCTTTTCATCTTAGGCAGTTATTAATATTTGAAATAGAGTATCAGCTAGATGGTTTAATCTTTATTCGTACTCTTCAACATCCACTACTTAACCAAGAAGCGTCCAAATGGTGTGTCATATGAGCTTTAAGACATTCGGTGACTACAATAATGAGCTTTCACAGAAATATCAATGAAAAATAAATTTTTTAAACTGAATGAAATTAATTTGAAAGAAACCCATTCACGCAAATATACACTGAACTTTTATCCTGTTTCGAAATCAGTGTACGATATTATTATTTTACATGTAGTTAGCTGAATTATTCTACAGTCGATGTTAGTTTACAACAGAAAACACCTTAAAAATACGTTAATATCTCCCAATTGTTGTTGCTTAGTGCTCACAAAGATACTTTTTTAAACAATAAAACTGTTCTGATTAATTAATTAGTTGACTGGTAATCCATAATTCGTCGCTAATCATTGATATGGTTTACTGCTATAAAATATTTTAATCATTTGTTTACTGCTATGTTTATGATTTCTATGACTGATCCTGTTTTGATCATGTTTATTGCACTCAATATTTATTATTATATATCTGTGATATTTTTACTCCTCCATCTGGTTCAGTTGTGTTCTTTGATTCTTTACTTCTCTTATTTTAATATTAATTGACACTTTTCAATGTAACTGTCTAATTGATCAGGTATTAATTTACTGGGTTTCTTTAAAAAAAGGATTGATTCATTGGACGCTTATTGGTAATTCATTTTGGTCAACAGCAAGTCACTCAATATATATATATACCACTCATGTAGTCTACATTATCCTGTCCCAACACTCTGAGTCTATGCTTATTATAAAAAAACATCCTACCTATGTATTATTCCTCTAAACAAAAATCTATTTTTTTTCGCTATGCAATGCAAATAATTAACATTTTAGTCATCTGACTCACCTCCTATAGACATCAGTAACTGTTTAGTTGAACATGCCTCTTTTTAAGACATGATGCTTTTTATAACTTACATTTTTAGAGATGAAGTTCTACAGTCTTGAATGTTTCATTTGTTTAACCATTTGATACTATTTAAGTGATGCGCAATTCCATATGATCCTTAATTTTAGTCAATGGTAGTTAACGACATATTCATAATGGTCAGTTATCGAATAATTTTATTAGTTATAATGTTATTGAGTTAAGTAACATAATAAGGGATAGGTGTTCAATTAAAAAAATATTTTGTTTGATTAGTTACATTTCTTGTTGTTATTTCTGAATGGATTGCAGACGGATGTCTTGTCATAAAAATGTTTAATTATTCAGAGATCATCAATAAATATAAACGAAATTAGGTTTGCACACACGTTCAACCCAATAATCTTAATCAGTTTACGGAAATCTAGTTTTACAGTCAAAAGACATTTCAGGTTTTAATATGTGCAATATTTCTTATCACATTGTTTCTGATGATTAGTTCATTTTGGAGACATCTTTCATCATAGATTAGTATCAGCTAGATTCTCCAGATGTGTACACCAACAGTTAGGGATAAGGGGTCTTAAAACTAGAACAAAACTACTACTCAGTACTCTATTGTTCCCATTGATTCTCCGGTTGATATCATTTCGTGGTAAAAAACCCTCTTCAGATTTTTATTATTTATTTAATGAATGTTGGATTTATTTACTGGTATGCTATTCTTAGGTTTTTCGCTTTTCTACCTAACATTTAATTATTGTCTCATTCCTTTTCCTATTGCAGACCAAAAGAGGATTTAAGTAACTGTTTAATCGAACCACCTGATTTTATTGAATTACCAGAAACTGATTCTGAAACTAGAGAATATTCTGTAACAGACTGTTCACTTATGAGTAGTGCACATAATACAACAACTACTAATGTTAATAACACTTCAGCTACGAATCAAAATTCGAATGATTTAAATATTTTAAAACCTGTAGATAATTCTATAAGTAAATTAACCAACAATCCGTTAGATATACTACATTCATTAAATTTGGATAGAGTACCGTCCTCTTGTATATTATCTACACCAGCTTCCTCCTCCTCATTATCAACAGAAACAGTATCATCAACTTCACCTCCAGCGCCATTATCATCAATTGTTGATATATCGTCGAAAAAAGTTAACTATTCTACCTCATTTAGTCATTTTAAAATGCCTTCGTGGGATAATTCATCTGTATATCCTGTTGGTAAGTTAGATAATATTGTATATATTTGCACTCTTTTTTGAACAGTGATGTGTTGAATTTTCATTTATTTATTTATTTCTGTAATACTGATCCAATGCCCTTAAATTTGTAACCAGGCAATTACAAAATGCTGTACTATAAGTGTAGGCAAACTGTCTTTCAGACGTGAGTTTACTCTTCATCTGCTTAATTCATATCTATAGCTTTTAAGTTTATCCCTTTAAATTAGAGGGAATGCGTAGCTTGTTAATATTCGATCGTAGATGCCCTTGAAGAATTATTAGTATACTATAGAACTGCGGACTGAGTAACATCATGATTTTGAGTAGAGCACTAAGTAGAAATGATAAATCGGTTGTTGAAATTGTGGTGTTGGATATGTGGCAGTCAGGATATGAGTTACGCATGCTGAAACACCTTCTAACCCTACCTACAACGAGTTTTGTATAAGAATAGGTGAGAAGACCAGAGGTGGACAAAATACAAGGGGATGTTGGTCATTGAAATCACTGATTGCCAGTTTGGGCAGTTCCAGAATATCCCGGATTTTTAGTTGGGGTCCATGCACCAGTTATAATCTATATTTGGAAATATCTTTGGCGACACTGTTCATAATAAATCATAATCCCGCAGTTGCATCCATCCTTTATCTTCCTTCAAGTCTCTAGTGTTAATATTGATTCTCACCTCTTCTTTTCTCATTTCATTCGTTCTTTCGAACTATATCTAGCTTTATTGTATTATCGATATTCCTATTATTTCGACTCCTTTACTATTAATTTTGTTGAATTCCATAACACTACGCTATTGTTAAGTATAAAGACTTGAACAGGCACACTTTCACTCCATTTTCTGAACTGTTTATGATTGATTAAGTGACTGAATGATATATCTATAACTTCTCGCCTAAGCTACAAACGTTTTGCATGGATTTTAACATCTGAACTAACCATAGTAATGTACACGCGTACAAATATACCCATACAGATAGAGGGATTCAGAAATCTGTTGACTATATGTCATTCTCTGTTATTTTTAACATGTAAATGTAATCATTCATTTTCAAAATCTGACTTCACTTTTTTTGTCTGATTTCGTGCTTAGTGATAGATTTATTGAGAATGTGTAATTATCATTTTGAATTAAATGATTTCACTTTACTTTTACCAAGCTATATTTTAATCTACACTACACGAAATCAGCTTAATTCACTATGCAAATATGCCTGTTGAATAACTTATTAAATATGTCTAATAAAACTTGATAAAGATTATTTTGTCCGTCGGAGTTAAAAGTTAAAATAATTAGTTATACTATGCTATCATTTAATTCTTATTATTTGTTCATAGGTTTACTCAAATTGTGTGTCACAATAGGCAACAATAATTCTATGTTGAATGTTATATGTACTATTTAAAAAATGATGATCGACTTTTAAAAAAAAGTCAATAAGTAAAGCACTTTTGTTGATGTATTCTGTTTTTATTTTAATAACCCAGGCTCATAATTAACGTTTATACTTCTCTAAACTGTGAATAGTATGAATACAGTTATGTGAAATGGATTGTAACAGTAGGTACAAAGTCAGAAAAGAATATCAGAACCTGTAAATCTGTAATAAATAATATTATTGACTTGTGGGAGTAGAAGGCTCTTAATATGCATATACTGAATGGTGATTGATTAACAATTCTAAGTGAGATACAATATAGCTTTTGGATAACTAATTTATTGGCTTGTCACATTCACTAACAGTTGTTGAATGAATGACATTATAGGTGGTATGGTAAATAATGTTTGACTTACTACATTGTATTTAATTTAACTGTCGAAATGATCCGACTAGCTTTGATTAATGTTAATGGACTTTTTATCACGATTAACTTTTTGTCCTACGTTGTAGCTGACTGACTGTATACATCTGTATAATGTCTACATTACAATATCAAACTATAGGCCTTTATAAAAATACACGACATATTTCGGTGTATTATGAATGTAACTTGTGTTCTAACTAAATATTTAAATAACTATTGATTTACGACTACTAAACTGAATGAATGCATACTAGAAAAACTATATACGAAATATTAAGTATATTCAAATAAGTCTTTTTTAAATCTGTTAGATTGAATTCAACTATGGTACTCTCGACCATGAGCTATTTATCCGAATAGCAATTAATCCAAATGAATCGTACTAAATAATCAATCTTTAGTCATAGTATTCGCTTGAAACATTTAGTTAGTATCGTTGATTAAATTTGTTAAGTTTTATACAAGAAATTTAATCAGTTGGTCATTTTTATAACCATGTATCGACTGAAGCCTTAATGGGAATGTAAAAGTTATTTGTAATAAAATCTATGTAGAATCGGAATACTGTCTAACACTTTTCTACTGCTTGGAAGATATTCAAATAATGTGTACAAATAAAGTTATTTATTTCGAAATCAAAATGCTAAATCATACATTACAGGAATAGTCTTGCTGCCAAAACATGTATAGGGAAATTTTTACTGTTGGCTACTGTAAGGTTTTTACAAAAATTAGTGCCTAGTTTTCTTCTGAATAGAGGCAAATTTATATAATTTGCACTCCTAAAAATCGTAGTTAGGCGAATTGAGCTTTAATTAATGATGTAGTGAATTTTCGTCAACTGATGTGATTAGAACATATATTAAGTATCTCTAAACATTAGCTACCTCGACACACGACGTTTCCTGGTGTAAGAGTAATTTGGAAGAAGACTGTGGACGTCAAAACCAATACGTGATATTAGTTTCCTAAGTCACTGATACTTGGATTGAGCCATATCAGTAGGTTCATTCTACCTGGTTGGAGTCCCCGCAGTAATCGTAACCAACTATTTGATACGATTGGTGGCATTATTCAGAATTAGTCGCAACAGTAGTGATGCATTCATTTTATCTTCCCTTAGATCTTGAGTTTAAAAATTAACTTTTTTTCTGTTCCACGAATCCATTGTCGAGTTATATTATATATACTTAATCTTTCCTACTTAAAGTGATGCTGTTGGTACTTCTACTGCTCTGAGACTTTTCCCAGTGATTTCTTCCTCCGTGCTGAAATGGTATGACAACTTGAACCGATGCGTAGGTGTGCCAGGTTCTATGTTACGAATGAATGACTAATAAAGATAAGTGGAAAACTAGTAAAATCCCAAATGGTGTCTGCTTCTATGACGTCTGAAACTATGGAGTTTTGACTAGCTAATCATTCCATTAACTGACTATATTTCCACTTTACCTCTGAGTACTGACATCGAGAAATAACTTACAACGTTCATGCTCGTGAAATGACTTATATAATACGCCCTCAAACTATCAAAACTGTTGTTTCAAGATGCTAGCAATACTCATTTGATTGCTCACCTTCACTATCTATAAACACATTTTCGAATCTCAATATAAATATCTGGAAGACTATAGCTGCTATTTTTTTTGCATTTGACTTGTCTTTGTTACATCTACTTTTGAACAAAACGTAATATCTTAATAGATTAATCGTATTTAGCATATTAAACCAACATATTTCGGTTAAAATTGAAATTTTATAATTTTTGTTACATTAAAATTTAACCATTTCCACTCTGTCATACGTATTTAATCGATTAAATTTCTATCACGAGCTGATTTATGTGTGTAAACCACTGAATTATTGCTTGGTAGTCTAAAAGTCTAACTCTCACTCTAAAACTCGAAGGTTTTAGGTTCGGTGCCCAGAAGAGTCGTGAATGTGCGCTGCTAGAGTTCCCTACTAAACAAGTATATAATGCTTACTGATTTTTAATGATTGTCTAACTTAGTTCGATCGATAATTTCAATATAATCCTACAGTTTTCAAAAACCTCACATTTTGATAAACTAACATAGTTAAGACTATCCTATTTGTAGGAAACTATATTAGCCTCTTTATTAATGCTTTTTTGAATACAACATAAATGTTTAAAAATATTATATTGGGTAATAACACTATTACGCAATATGGAAGATAGGAGTACTGAACAGTGGACAAAATAGACAAATTAGTAAGTGAATCAATGAATGAACGTAATAGAGAAAGTGAATCAATTCATTCTTTTTTAACTTTAATATTATATGAAACTAATTTTGAGTAAAATTTTATTTTATGCCCAGAAAAATGAATAGTAACCAATTGATATTGTACTATCAGATAAATATAAATAATCATTGGGAGGAAAGAACTTAATAATAACAAATCAATTCATGTTTTTCATATTTTAACTAAAATAATTTCGCACAAGATGGTGGTTGGAGGTAGTCAACAGGAAACCCTGGATCTAGATTTCGTGCTACTTGACACTCGTCAGCAAGGTGTACCTGTAATCTTGAGGGAACTGATGCTCCCTGACGGATTCGATCTCATGTCGAGTCACCTAGACTGGTGTCCACATCGATAGGATTCGATCTGCACCAAGAAGGACCTGACATACATGACATTGATCACCATCCAGTGATCAGTCAATTGTAAATAATTTCGGACAATATACTCTCTACGGATTTTCGAACTGCTAACCTTTGTTCCTTTCTCTCAGTTTTACCGTTTAGATTTTCTCTTCATAAAAACTCCATGAATATTATAATTGTACTAATCCTTGTAATTAGTTTTTTTCTTATCTTCTCTTATTGATTAGTTTATTTTTTGTTTTCAGCTACTCAGAATCGTTCATCAGTTATCAGGAAATAATGAAATTACTTGTAGAAATATATTACTTTTCCTACTTTTGATTGTATGTGTGTGTTTGGTACACAATAATTTTTTTAGTTTTCTTGCTTTCCTACTTCGTTAATACCTTAATTCACCTTCTACAACTATATATCCAATTATGTGGAAAGATTTAACTTAATATTATCAATTAATAAAAATAACTTGTCATAATCTACTTGGTAAATGATTAAGTAGAGTTTTGAAAAAGAAAACTTACTGAAAAGAAAAATATTCTTATCAGAATAGGTGAATAAATCGAAATGTGACACTTCGTGTATACACATTGTCGATCCCTGTTTTGCTTTCATTATAGACAAATAACGAATTGATACTTATGATTGAACTCATGCGTTCGTATAGTTTGATAATTCTTTAGTGAAGTTCTCAGTATTATCATTATCTGTTTGTGAAGTTAATCTCATCGATAATCTTGATGTGATATAGTGATGAGGAGTTTTAGTTCATAAAATATTAGTGGTGGCTTTTTTTAATAAATTATTGCCATTGAATAGTTTACTATTATTTATTTATTTATCAAATATATAGTTAATATGATAAAAATTTAATAACGTTGTCCATAAAGTTCGTCATCTTTACTTTTTACATTGGGGATCATACTGACTTTTATGAGAAGGCTGGACTCCATCCCAAATCGTAAAGTTGTTTTCTTAGCAAACGACCATCCCCAAGCCCTTAACCTAAAGGTCTGATTCACAAGGCAATGAAGCAGCGTTACGTGTTACAATCCCTGTAAGTCCGATGATGAAAGTAGGTTCGGATACCATTCATTTTCTTAGTCCTGTGAGCTATGTGCTCTACTTGGTTGGTATTAAGGTTATCTAAATTCACGAGGTAGGGCTTTAGAATTCAACAATAAGCTCAGAACCTCTTCTTTTGTGCTCTAACTTTTAACTAAGCATATTCACCACGTAAAGCTAGGTTCCCTGAAAAATGCAGTGAATACATAGTTGTAAAAGAACTGGAAGAACTTGTTAAAATCCTTATACTGCTACTGGTTACATCTGCAGACAGTTATTCATTTACTACTTTCTGTATAACGCAATCGAGACTGATATTACTTGACGCAAAGAAAAAAAGTAAAACTGTAGATGAAGGTTTTATTATGCATGAACCACAAATCCACAACTGATCGTAACGACAGTAAAAATTACAATGAGAAATAAGTTATTTTAAATATCCAGTCAATAGATTAGTTTGTGTACTTCGAAATGGGAGTGGTTGGCACTTATTAGTTAATAATTTAATATTTGTGTATAATTTAAAATATCAACAAGTACTTTAATTGAAAAATCTAACTAAACTCTGGTTAATCCATATTTGCTTTAATCTAGAAAATATTTCAAAAGTGGGAGAGAAATTTTCCCACCTGAGGCCAAGGTCACATAATTTACATGTCGAAATAGTTGGGTTCTTTTTTTTCTACATTAGCAATCTATGTTCTACTGCTATGACATAAAATTTTATGTGGTATGTCATCGCTGTATATATATATATATATATATATATATATATATATATATATATATATATATTTCTAACCATCGAAACCGTAACTTTGGTGCTTTAAATCGCCAGTTCGAATATTCAAACAATTTAGATGATTGAATTAATGTAAAAGCAAATTTACCACTAACTTAACAGCCTCTAGATTTACTGATACGAAGAAAACTATTGGACTTCATAACAAAGCATCGACAGTAGAGAAGAAAACTCTTTATGCATATGGAATTTAAAGGAGACATGGCTACTGAAATCCTAAATAAACGGATTTCGAAATCATTTAATAAAACATTCTACGCAACTGAGCTCCGAATCGTTTTCGATTTCGATTTTTTTTCAGCCATCCAAGTATCCCATTTTAAATAGAATAAATTTGTCTGTTGTTGTTATATTACAATTAGATGAAACCTCAAGTTTTTGACTTTTTTCTAATTAATTTATGTTCATTACAATGAAGTAATTAGTTTACATGCTTAATTAAACTTTCTATTTGATAATAGACTTAATGGATAAAAAGAAGACACAATTCTCAGTTGAATTTCCAGATTGAGTTGTACTGATTAAATTTTAAAATATTTTATTCAACTTTAAACCTCTTGTCTCCAAATTACAGTGCTCTCTCAGTTTGATTCATTCACTATCATTCTTATTAGTCAATAGTTACCACTATCGAAAAGTTACTGTAATAAACAGCTAATTATGTATTTCTTTATATAATAGATTTCGCTAAATTACCAGGAAATTGTAAAAGTTGTATCCATGATTAAATGGTTTGTTTAATTGCAAGATATTTTGGTCGTCTACTGCTATCACATGGACATATACTTCGTCCTTGTTTATGACCCCATAATAGTGGTCAGTTAAATCCTAGTAATTGGTTCAATAATACATTACCCGAAGTTTTGTAGGGAGGCTGTAATCTATAAAATCAGGTGCGTTGAAAATGAGGACGTCATGTATGGTTAGGATTAAAATATAGTCTCCTAGTTTCGTGAAATGGTTAAAACTTGAAAACGCAAATCTTTTACTGAATGATACAAGGTGCACCACCTGAAAATAATAGTCCCACGTTTAATCCTGTGTAGGGTTGTGTTATTGAAAATCCCCTGGTTATCAAGAATTTTCCGGAGTATTTCAGTATGAGATTGAAGCCGTGTTTTGTTTGAATTTTGTCTTTATATCACATTCAGTGTTTGTGATTTTTTCCAAAAATAATATCAAGTTTCAACACCTACTTTTAATCGTCACGCAACTTATAAAGTTTGTAAAATAATATAATCTACTTCGGTTTAAAAATTTCTCATATATGCAAGTAAATGTCTTAATCATTCGTCATGGTAATTCATTCAGCATTCTGATAGTTCCCTTTTTTAATTGTCATATCACCTTCCTATTGGATCTCTTGGTATCTGGAGCTCCGGCAAACTTTCATTTCATTGTCGTATTGTAACCATCATATCGCCTATTCCCTGTAGAATTGTATGCCTAAGAATAATTGTGCATGCCATTGTCATCGCTACCTGGACAATGATTTCATAGTCTTCAATTTAGGAAATTCTGCCTCATAACCTCGTTTTAGTTATTTTTGTGTTCATCGAAATCATGAATCCATGGACTAGTGTATAACAGTTAATTTTCAACCATCTAATTCATATTCTATTCCCGAATATGATTAACTCACGTACTAGCATTAAGTACCACAAAACAGATGTAGACCATTCTGTGTCAAGTCGAATGTTTGAACCCAAATTTTAAACAATATACGTTGTTTACCTGAAATATACCTCTTTTATCTTCATATTTTCTATTATTATTGATGTTTTCATCATTTATACCGTTACTATTATTTTCTTTATAGGGTCAAGTAGCTGTGTTTCAAAGTCATCAATTTGTCAAAATGAGTTGATTTCTTCACTAACAAATATAAACCAATCAACAAATGCTTTTACACAGGCAGATCAATCACAGTCATCTTATTGTGACAGGCTATCAGATTCAAGCTCTGTGACACCTATTTCAAATTCCACATCATCCACTCCATGTTCAATTTCGAAAGGGAGCTTATTGCTTCGGTCCCCTCTTACTCTCCCATTAGATAAATCAATCCCATCAGTACATGCAAACACACAACAACAGAATTTGATGATAGATACATCTGCTGTTGTTGAGTTAGACAAACGATTGTCTAGTGTTACACATGATAAACCTCGATCTGGTCAGAATGTTACATTCAATATACTTAATCCAGATAATGTCACTTGTTATTCTTTACCGAATCGGCATCATTTACCTAATCTATGTATGACCACTGATACTCCCTCAGATGAAAACAGACAAAACGTTAATATTATTGAAACTGATCCTAGTATTAAGTATTGTAATTATGGTAAAAAGTCATATGATTATTTTGCTACAGACAGTGTTCTTTTAGTACGATCGTCTAGACGACGTAGAATTAGACCTGATTTACAAGTGTTACCATCAATGAATACTGATTTAAAAAATACCGATCCTTCCTCTCCTGATTTCACTTCAGCTACTGCTCATCCGTCTACTTCTAAATCGAATCCATCAGATTGTTTGAGGCCTGAAAATGACTCCTCACTGTCGTCGATTTCTTCATCTACAGCTACTGCGTCTACTGCAACAGTTGGTGTATCACAAATAATGTCTAAGAGTGGTATACCAATGGATTATTATTACTCATCAGGCTATCAATCACACTCGAGACAGTCAAGTCTTGAATCACAACCTGTTGGTTCTAGTCCCCCATTATTATCAGCGGAAGTATGCACACAGACTCAGTAATTGTTGATATTATGTAAGTATTACTTTTATGTTTATATGAATATTAGCTTGTATATTTGCTTGAAATATGTATAGACTGTTTTATTCGAATAGGGATTGATATGAAGCTGAATAAAATTTCTTTTTTTGAGAGAAATATCTTAATTAAATAATTTCTATGAGTTTTAAACTTATACTAATTTGTTACATATTTAATGCTGACTGGAAAGTAAGAAAACATACCTCGTTTTATTTAAATGGATTAGATCACACATGTGTTGTTTATTTGCTTTCTAAAAATATCCTCATCGTTTTTCTGTGATTCATATATAATCTCGTTGAATCTTATCATGTAAACGTTTTGTATATTAGTGGATTATTTATAGGTGTTTTGTATCATTTTGAATAATCTGTGAACATATGATTACGCTTGATGTTAAACTGTTTTTACGAATCAGTGGAAAACTGTATGTGGTAAAGCTGGTAGTGGTGATGATGGTTTGAAGAATTCTACAGCAAACCTTGGATCTAGGTTTCTTTCTGCTTGAGACTCGTCAGAAATATGTACCTATAGTGTTTAGGGAATTGATGCCCATGGCGGGTTCGATCTTGTGTGACCCGGTTTCAGTGTCATCAACGCTATCAACGAGCTATTCGGACCGCGAATGATCTTCTTTAGGACTGAGGTATTTTTACAAATAGTTGGTCACTGAGTAATGAGAAATACCATCTATTTAAAGTCCTTAGTTATGATCGTGCTCTACTGAAGACTAATATTTACTAATAAATCGTCTCTGTAATCTAAAATACTGTATTTCTTCAGATATTTTGAAACTGAGAGTTGGTGATGAAGATGAGCAATGTATCTTGCTGAAGTTCCTAGTATGCTGTTATCGTAAGTCATCAACCAGTCGGCTACAACGTAAGACCGGGCACACATATGCATCGGTCCAAGTTACCATACCTCATTGTCACAATAAGATGAACGCCAAATTCATAGAAGCAGTTACTTCAATGGTAGTAATATATAAAAGATATATTGTGTATGACAATATAGTACACAAATAAAGAATTGGTTCATAGGAAGAAAGGTATGAAGTAGTTTTAATCTCACAGTTTAAGGGAAGACAAATAGTGTATACACCTACGCCATTGTGATTGATTGTGATTCATATCACCCAGAGCCTCCAACGATTGGTTACGATGGTTGCGTGGACCCGAACTAAGTAGTCTGCATCTACCAACATTGCTCGTACCAGAAGTTAGTGACCTTATGAACCCATGCTACGTTTCAGTTTGACCGCCCCTTTTTTTTCCACCAATCTCCAACACTAGTCAACATTGAGCGTCGTGGTAATTAGTGTTAAGGCATGCGTAACACGTGACCCAGTCATCTCAGCCAATGAAGATTCACAACCAGTGAGGCGCAAGCAGATGCGTGCCCGTATTAGGCCATGGTCGGAGTCCAAGCAGGTACTCCAGAATGAGCGACAATCTTCTACCGACCCTCTCCAACGATGACTGATGGCAATATGGTCTATTTGAGTCCATCGTTGGTTTGGTGTAGGGGTCGCCATGTTAGACGATGTCTCTCCTTATGCTTAAAATTTGTTTGCTAAAAATAAACGATTGTCTGAGCACAGTTGCAGCAGACGATCACCATTATCTGTTCGCTGTGCCGGTATACTAAAATACCCACCTAAATGCCTTTCTGTTTGGTTTAAACTACCTATCTGAACATTAAAGCCACCTGCTACGATTACTATGTCTGAACGTTTAGCTTTCTGAAGAAGTTCAGATAGCTTTCTGTAAAAGCCATCTTTCACTTCATCTGAGCTGCAGTCGGTGGGAGCGTAGGCAGAAACGACAAAAAGGCAACGACGTGTGTCCCTATCCTTCCGAGTTCTTACGGAGCCGTTTAGCCGAACAGCACATAAACGACTGTTGACGGGGATCCACTCTAACAGTGCTTGTTCCGCCCTCATGCTTAGTGCTATCCCTACTCCTGCCAGTCCACGAGAACTGGCCGTCGCGTCACCAGAGACACGGAGGGTGTATCTCGTTGGCTCTCCGTTTTGTCGAGGTGAGGTCAAGTGAATGACCACTCTAGGAACCGGTATGCATGTTTCAGGGACACAGCATACATCGATTGCACGAGATTCTAGGGTCTTAGCCAAAGTAGACTGCTTGCTGATTTGACATAGGGTGCGTACGTTGAAGGCGCCAACGTGTAATTTCGAGCGAGGTTTCAGTATACCTGGGGCAGTGTTTCGCGTACTAGAATCGTTGGCCATAGTGACACTGGAGGAGGAAGTTTAGATTTAATATTCGAAGTAGGAGGAATGATTGGAATTGAAAAGGGAGGTTGATTATGAAGAGCGTGATCTTGGGTGTTGTTAGAGGTATGAGAGCGGTTATCACTTCCCGGCTGCCCACACCGTGGAAGGGTTCTTCTGGAGGTACCTGAGAAGGAAATTGGATTAGAGGTGATCTTAGTGACCTAAGAGCGTGACTGCAGTGCTCAAGGGACAACTGGTTGAGGTCAGTCACATACGACCTTTTTGTGGGTAATCTTTGTGTTAGCTCCGTACTTGTTGAGATCTTACCGCCGGAGACGGATATCCGTGGGATAAGGCGAGGTGTGCATTTTTAGGGTCGACCTTTTCTAACTTCATCCCTCCTTGTGGGAGGGCGAGATCCCTGTTTTGCTGGTTGTCTGAAGGAATCACTATACAAAGGCTGTGATATAGATTCCTTTTTGTCTTTTAAATTTTTTAAATGATAGATATTGTAAATTAATATATCTATTGTTCCTCTTACAAAACATGCATATATTTACTAAGTCGATACAGCATTTTACGTAACATATATTTATATGTTAACAGACAAAAAAGATTTTTTTATTAATAATGGTACCAATCATTCATGACCGCCAATCGTGTTGGTTACAGCCTTAATTTGTATTGTGGACTAGTCTTTTTAATGTGTTCTTTCATACAATAATAAGATTATTACTTTTTATAACACCCAGCTAATATCTCATTTGTTTTGACTATTCAACACAATATTATCATTAATTGACGATGATCAATTAATCGAAAATGGAGACATTTTTCACCAACTAACTTAGTTGACATGCATTAAATAAATCAATCATTATTTGGTAAACTTATTGATCAGTTAATAATCCTTTTTGTAATTTAATATATCACAAGTAATTTAATCTCTTAACACAGAAACTTCTTTATTGCCCTGTTGTGCCTACGGAACAACATGTTGAATAGTTCAACTCTTGAATGCTGTAACAGATGAAACTACCAGGTTTTACCATACCGGGCTTCGTCCTCTTCTAGATTTATATTATGTACTGCTAACAAGTGGATTTTCTTTAAGCTCTTAACTTCATATGATTATTTTAGGAAAATTGTCATCACTACAAAATACTTATTTCAAGGCTGAAAAGTGCAGCACAAAATTCATCCTGAGTAGATTTTTTATCGGGTTATAGAATATCGTAGATATATTAGAACCTAAGATAGTTTTAAATTCGAGTAATTACACAAACCAAAGGTCCACATGAATGCAAATCCTGTGTCAGGCGTGTGAAACTCTAAAATATTTTAAATTTAAATTCTGTCATCCATTATTTAATAGTGAAATTAATTACACAAACATCAAAATGTATAGCGTTAGTTTATCTTGAGACATCAATTCAAGTGTGATTTCAAACACAATTTACGAAGAGTTTAATTTAAAGTGTCATATTCCGTTCAGTTAGCTTCCAATTCTTTCGTTTCTAGCTGTTATAACTCACTTCTAAATTATCTCACTAGTTATAGTTTGTTTACGTGCTATTAACATTGATAAGATATAAACAAGGCATAGAAGTTTGATAGTTATATGATTTTACTTCCAGTTGCCAATTTAATGTTCACTTTGCTTATTTTGGCTTTGTCGACTAGAAGAACCAATAACCCTAATACAAAATGTACTCATTAAAATTCAATGGTCAAACTTGTAGTTACAGAGTTATCGGTCACAATGAATTAATTAAGTTGTAAATACTTTACAAAACTGAAAATAATCTGTAGGTAGAAAACTCACCTGATAAATTATTCAACGTATTTCAATCAGGAGTTTCACTTCAGTTTGTCAACTTAAATTTTCCAAATACGTTTTATAGATTAGTAGAAAGATGTCAGATTTTAGCTTATTATTGCTTAAGATGGGTTAAAACGGATAACCATTTATAACACAAGAATGTGTATATATACAACGTATTCCATAAGAACGGCTTATTGATCAATTTAATCCTAATTTTATATTTTAAGGCTTTTTACTACAAATGTTACTACTTTTCTTGATTGATTTGTATACATTTGTGTAAGTTTACTTTGTTTTATCGTGTTTAATAATTGATAGATTTATGACCTCTTATCGGATTTGACCTTGATGTTTTATTCTTTGAATTTTTCTTGCAAAATGTCCTGTTGATATATATATACTTCAATTTTTTCTCTTTCAAAGTTTCAAGTATGAAAAATTCCTTATATGACATTTCGTTTGAATGAAAAAAATGGCCATGGTCATATTATTACCGTATTGTAAAACCCAAAAGTACTTTAGGTATAGTAACTTTCTACAGTCAAGCAATGATTAGATAGAAATAAGTCTAAAAAATCGATATATTTAACAGGGATTCACTAACATGTTTTTCATATGACATTCACACTTTACCGTTTCACACTAGAGTTTCGTGACATATCCCGCGACAGGCGATTAATGAACTCTGTTTTCTTAGTGTTATCAGGTGTTTTTGTTTGGTTAGGTTTATTTCACTTAAATATTTTATCCACAACTTTATGTTAGTCTGGAAATGAGCGTTTTGAAGTTCGAAAATGAAGCTAAAAGTTTTTCATATAGCAAAGTACTTGTAGAGCTCCACAGTATATCTTGATTCTGTAAATAAACGATTTGCAGAAGAAAATTCATGTCTGTTCTCACATACAGAGAAATATAAAGGCATTGATTATC